TGGTTGCTGGGGGTCACCTGGGACTTGGAGCATCGCCGCCCTCTTCCCGCCCCCCAGAGGAATTCAGACAAGCAGCTTTTGCTCGCTCGCGGTTTTTCTTTGAAGCACTTAGGTGTGTGCCGTGCGCCTGTCTCTCTGCTGTAGGTGGTTTGACAAGTCAATCACGTTTATCGTCTACAAAAACGGCAAAATGGGCATGAACGCGGAGCACTCGTGGGCAGACGCCCCCATCGTGGGCCACCTGTGGGAGGTGAGTTCCTGCCGCCCCGTGGCTTCGTGGGAACATGCTTCTGGGGCTCCAAGTGGCGGAGCAGGTGGCATGTGGGATTGTGGGAGTCAGTGCAAGGCCACGCGTAACAGGAGACCACGCCACAGCAGGCGCCACGGCCTCCCTTCCTCCGACCCGGGCCCTCACGCAGCCCCACAGCGGTGACCCCGTCTCCCTCGGCAGGGGAGGAAGGTGACCAGTCAGCTGTTGCAGGTGGTGTCCGGTTGGAGCTGAACGAAGCACCTGAAGCAAGCAATCACTTGTTTCGTGATCACTGGCTTGTTGTCCATTTGCTGTTTTTTTTTTTTCCTTCTCGACCAGCGTTTCGGCCAAATAGAGCAAGTGTGTGGTGATCTCAGTTCATGACAGTGTGGCGACCTCTCGTCACACCGTTGCTTTGGTCTCTCGCTTTTAAAAGATACTGTTTGCAGAGCCGTTTCACGTGGAGTCGAGAGAGACCCCTCCCCGCGTGTCCCCTTGCCCCCGTGGTTTCCTCTCAGGTCTTGACCTTAAGCTCTGGTTCAGGGTTTGAAGACAATGGTGGGGCAGCTGGTCTGTGGCTCCCCCTGCTGGTCTCGGTGGGTCCAAGGCTGGAATCTGTACAAAGTAAAGTGCTCTGTCCCACAGTTCCCTCCCTTTTGAGGAGCCTCTGCCTGCGAGGGCTGCTCTCAGGGCTCTGGACGGGGTGGGGGACCTTTTGTCCGTCAGAGCCATTTGGATATTTACAACACCGTTTGAGGGTCACATTCGTCAGACAGCTCCCTAACTCACCTCTAATGGGTTGGCTGTGAGGAGACCGAGTGGCATGGTGGTCGCACGTAGGGCTGGTGACCACAAGGTCGGCAGTTTGAAACCACCCGCAGCTCCACAGGAGAAAGATGAGGCGTCCACTCCCGTAAAGAGTTACGGGCGCAGACAGCCACAGGGGGGCAGTTCTGCCCTGTCCTACAGGGTCGCCGTGGGTCGGAACCGACTTGCGGGCAGGGAGTTTGTTTGGTTCACGCAGTGGCTGGAACGGCCTCTCTCTGGTGTGGTGTGTGGTGTTAGCAGGTGTGGGTGATTTTGTGGGACTTATAGGGCTCCAGTGGAGAGGGGTGGCATTGTGGTTATGCCTTGGGCTGTTAACTGCAAGGTCGGCAGTTTGAAACCACCCACCGCTCTAAGGGAGAAAGATGAGACTTTCAGTACCCGTAAAGAGCGAGTCTCAGAAACCCACAGGCGCGGTTCTCCCTGCCCCCCAGGGTCGCTGTGAGCTAGAATTGGCCCGAAGGCAGCGAGATTGGTTCCGCTAGTGTGGAGAGACGCCTTCTCTCGTTAGGTGACCAGCCACAAGTTGCACCCAACTCCCAGCAAGGCCAGAACTGTGCTCCAGGGGGGTTCTGAAGCATCCTGGGTGGACCAGAACGTCCTTCCTGTTCCAGTGGGCTCACCGTGGACACCGCCTCAGGCTCCGGGCGCCTGTGAGGCTGATAGAAGGCGCTGGGCGCCTGTGAGGCTGATAGAAGGCGCTGAGCCTGCTGCAGGCAGCGAGTCAGGAGTGGTCTTCCGGTCCTCAAATGACCCCAGGAGGGGCAGGGCTGGTCGGATGTGCGTGACTCTCAGTTGCAAGCTTCCCTGCGCTGACGATGCATCTGTCTTCTGTTGGGCAGTACGTCATGGCCACCGACAGCTTCCAGCTGGGCTACGCGGAGGATGGTCACTGTAAGGGGGCCACCAACCCCAGCATCCCGCACCCCACCAGGCTGCAGTGGGAGATCCCGGAGGAGGTGAGTCGTCAGCACCCGAGCTCTTCCTGCACCCCTGGGTGGGAGCTGGGGGGCCCCTCCCCACGGAGTCGGCGGCAGACGTCCTTTTACCTGGACGGCTCCGGTACGCCCAGAAGAGAGGCGTGTAAAACGCGCTCTGCGCTCTCACGCCGCCTGGTCTGCACACGCAGCAGGGAACCCTCTCTCCAGGTGGAAGGGTGACCAGCAGGTGCTGTTGTCATCATGAGGGGCCGCCGAGTCCGCTGCAACCCTGTGCACGGACACCCGACCCCGCGCCATCCGCTCTGCTGTGCGTGGGTGTGAGCCCGTGTCGGCAGTCGCCGTGGCCCGCTGTGCGCCATCTTTTGTGAGGGAACCACTGGCAAAGGAAGGGCCCGAAAGGGGGGCCCCATCCACCCTGGAGGGTGGCCACGTTTTTTAAATCCCTGTTTGAGTCGTGTGCCGTACGCTTCAGTGGCCCCGACACTTTCTGAAGAGAGTGGGACCATCATCACCACAGTCAACTTTAGAACCTCCTCTTCCCGCTTGGACTCCGCGTTATTAGTCTCCCTCCAGTCTCCTCCCCCGGCCCCCACGGAGCCTTGACTCCAGGGAGTGTCTCTGTAGATTTACCTATCCTGGATTTCCTAGAGGAAAAAACAGACCGGAAAACCAACTGGAAAACCCGCCGCCCAGAAAGCAAAGCAGAGAAACCTCAAGAGAAAAGAAAGTGTCCAAATGACAAGCGGTGTTAACTTCTAACCTGACGGCACCTATCGCGATCCACTTGCAGTGGACTCTGCAGGTAGCAAGGCTGCTCGCATCCCCGGTCTGTGGTCAGAGGGGCTTCACCGGAGGCTTTAAGCCAGGTGTATCTCCCCTTCACGTTCAACAAAAGACAAAACAGCTTTAAAGCGAGCCAAGAGGAAGCTCAGATGGTATTCCATTTCAGCCTGACTACAGCGGCCATCACTGACTGGACAGTGCTCTCTGTGCGAGGGCAAGGCTGCTCACAGCCCCCGGCTGTGGCCAGGGGCTTCACCGGAGGCTGCATCACGCACGTGTGGTCCCTCGGTCCTCTTTTGAGTGCCTTCTGACCTGAGAGGACAGCTTCAGGCACCCTCTCCGATCCACAAGGTCTTGCGTATCTGCCCATATTTAGGTGCCATCTGCGAGGTTTTCAGTAAGGCTGATTCCGCTGAAGTGGGTGGCCAAGCCCTTCTTCCTGGGCTGAGTCTGGAAGCTCCGCTGAAACCCCTTCCCCGTGGGCAGCCCTGCCAGCACTAGAACTGCTGGAGACGTCGCTGCCAGCACCCCAGCCGCACACAAGCCACCCCGACGGATGACCGACTGATAGCTAGTGTAGGGTTGACACAATGTAGTGTGTGTGTGTAGATACAATGTAATCCACCTCCTTCGGGGTGCCCTGTGTGTGACGTGCTGAGGCCCCGGGATGCTCTTCCTGGAAAGGACCGTGAGGAAAACTCTCTGCGAGCACCTTTCCCAGGACAACGTTGCAGCCTCCCTGAAAACCAGCCTCCGAGTCTACTTCTGGACGTGGGCCACAACACAACCACACACGACGTACTCTTTTCTGAACCCGGTCCCCCTGACGACCAAACTAACACTCTCTCTCTCTCTCTCTCTCTCTCTCTCTCTCCAGTGCCAGGAGGTAATTGAGGCGTCTCTGAGCAGCGCGGACCTGCTGGCCAACGACGTTGATTTCCACTCCTTCCCCTTTGACGCCTTCGGCAAGGGCATGATCAAGAAGTGCCGCACAAGCCCAGATGCCTTCGTCCAGCTGGCCCTGCAGCTGGCCCACTACAAGGTACGGGGTGCCCGCCCACGGCTTGGCGGCCGCCCTGTGGGTCCCCGGGGGCTGAGACACCCCCACCCCGGCCCTCCAAGGGCAGCTGCTGGGGCCTAAAGCACTTGTTGCTGAGCCCCCTGGTGACCACCCCAAGTGGGGTCCACGCACATCCACCTTGTAGGCGGTGGGGGAGGGTGTGTCCTTGTGTCCCCACAGGTTGAGGGAGAACCTGAGATGGGCGGGACCTGGAACCAAAAAGAATACCTGGTGTTCGGGGATGTGGAGACCCTCAGGGCAGATATGGGCTCCTTCTGAGACCCCCCGCCAGGTGGGGGGCAAGGGGCAGGCACAGCTGTAATGGAAATCCCTCTAGCAAGTCACCTGGAAGAACCACAGTTCGGGAGGTCAGACGCCCCACTTGGGCCTTGCTCGGCGCCGTGGGAAGCTACCTGCTGAGGCATCCCTCAGCCCCTCCCACGGGCTCCACGCGTGTGCCCCTGTGTCCCTCCAACCTGCTCTTTCTGTGGCTCAGAAGTGATTGGGTCTAGGCCCCGCCCTACAGCGATGGTCTAATGAACATTATCAAAGACACCCATGGGCACACAGCGGCAGGCCTGCAGGAGCTGGGGTGAGGAAGGACCCCAGCACACTAGGGAACACGGTTCAATCCATCACTGGTTCTTCCTCTTCCAGAAGTGGGGTGCTGGCCCTCAACCTTGTGGGTCCGGGCGGGGCAGGGGAAGTTCTGGGCAGGGTGTGAGGCTTCCCTCCTTGGAAGTAAGCAGCTTGTCTCTGAGCACCTGTGGTTTGCAGACAACAGCTCTGTTGGAGGTTGAAGTGTTGTGGGTTCGAATCAGTGACAGCCACTCTAATGTCTTGATAATTTAGAAAAGGCTTTATCACCGGACTGCTAGAATCTAAAAGCGATTCTCTGATTGCAGTACTGAGTCCACATCTCAGTCCACGTTTAAGGCCGAAAAGCTCATTTGTCACCAGTCTAGGGTTCAAGCAAGCTTGGACAGAAGCAGAAAGCAAAATTAACAGATTAATTGTAACTTCAAGAAGAGTAAGCATGTATTACAAGGTACATTTCTTACCATAAAGGAAACAGTAACAATTGATTCTAATGTCCAGGTTACTATAACAAGACTGTACTGTCAAATCCTGGTGATTATGGCAAGATTAACCACACCATTCAGAATGCAACATCCAAGGGAACAAGACGGAATCAGAACAAATGCTATATTGCAGACTAATCTAAACTCGTTGTAGTGCCCAGAGCCTGGGGCCCTGGGAGCACATTGTAAATCAATCACCGGCAGAGACTTTCCCAGCAGGGGAGGGAGGACAGCCAGGGGACAAAACTGGACTTTCTTTTGCTCGTCTGCCTCAGAAGCGGTGCCCAGGAACAGAGGATGGGGTATAGAAACAGGGAGCTCCCTTTGTCTCCCCTCCAGGTGGCGGGAGGGGGGACCTCACCATGGGGAGTGGGAGCCCCTGACATTGCCCCAAGAGGCTCCGCACCTCGAACCGGGATCTCTGACGCCGACATAGCCAATCCGAGGGTTCTAGAGACCTCCTTGGATGGTACAGCCCCTCCTCCTTGTCTGGGTGTCCCCCTCTTCCCCACCCCACCAGGTCTCTCACCTGACCTTTCACATCAGCACCGTGAGTGGAGGCAAGGCTACCTCTAGAACTAGGGAGCCTGTGTACAGGCCACCCCCAAAGCCCAGAACCCTCCCCACCACTGAGTCTTGCATCCCCACTGCAGTACAGGGACGAACCTCCCCCGTGGGTCCCCAAAACCATCCCTTTTCATGGGAGTAGAGAGCCTCCTCTCTCCCCTGAGGAGCGGTGGGGGGTTTCGAACTGCAGCCCTTGGTGGTGTGCAGCCCAGGGTAGCGCCACTTTGCTACCAAAGCCACATGGGAACGGCCTGCTGCCCACCCCCAGCGGGCGGCTGTTTTACGTGGTGTGTCCAGGTGCTGCAGGGCATCACACTGAGCTCGGAGGGGACGCAAAGCCCCCGCAGACACACGACACCGAAGTCAGTCAAGCACACAGCTTGGGGAACAGTGGGGCGCTAGCTTCCCCTGGCACCCCAGCCCCAGGCAGAGTGGTGGTCCCTTCCGTTCACGAGCTGAGTGCAGGGCAGGCCTTCTCTGAGGCTCCCTGCGCTGGGCTGACGAGTAGCACCAGGTCCAGCAAGGACACCCCCAGAGATGTGTCCAGCCGGGGGACCCGAGACCCACAAACTGCAGCTTGCTCTTCCTGGTCGCATCTGAGCCACCAGGAGCCGGGGCCGCCTGTTCCCTGAGGGGTCTCTCTCAGACTCTGCCTTCCTTTCACGGACCCTCTGTGGTGTGCCGCAGCACAGGCATCCTGCAGCTGCCCCCACTTCCCTCCTTGTCTACCCTGGACCCCAGTCCAGCCTTCACTTCCCTACTGGGTCTGCTGCCCCCACTTCCCTCCTTGTCTACCCTGGACCCCAGTCCAGCCTTCACTTCCCTACTGGGTCTGCTGCCCCCACTTCCCTCCTCGCCTACCCTGGACCCCAGTCCAGCCTTCACTTCCCTACTGGGTCTGCTGCCCCCACTTCCCTCCTGCCCCTGTACCCCTCCCCACCCAGGCTCCAGCCTTTACTTCCTTAATGGGTCTCGGGTATAGGCCCCCATTCCCTCTCTCCGCACCTCCTCTTCCTCACCCCCCCTAGTTCCCCCTGCTCCAAGCTCCAACCTATTGGGTCAATCTGGGCAGGACCCGGACCGAGGGCTGTGCCCCCCTCCCCACCGGCACTGTTTCTTTCAGTGGAGGGGGTTGAGCACATGCCTGTGCACAGCCTGCACCCCTTCTGCAAACACACGCCCTGGGTGCTGGCGGGTGGGCTTGTGGGCTCACATTGCCCTCACACACGGCAGAGGGAAGCATGGCCCGGCAGGCGCCATCTGTTTGGGGGTCAGTCTGCTTGAGCCCATTGTTGGGGTCACGTCCGTCCGTCCGTCTCACGGAGGGACCTCCCTCGCTTATCTGACCCTCCACGGGGCCGGCCACGAGGTCCTCCTGGATGACGCGTCCCGTCCGGGGTTGTTTCTTAGGCCACCTGTCGGTTCCTCCGTCCAGCCAGCGTGGAGGGGGTGCCGTCCAGGGGTGGGGAGCTCGGGACACGCCTTGATGCGTGGGGCCAGCCATCCGGCTCACCAGCAGTTCTGGACCCTCCGCCCACCCCTCTCCCTGAGAGCCCACATCCTCAGCTAAGGCATCTCTGCTGGCTGCCATGTCACCACGCGTGACAGCTGGCCGGGACTAACCTGCCAGCCGCGGCAGCGGCCGGGTCTCTCCTGGCGCGGCCGGCCCGCAGTCAGACGCCCTCTCCCTCCCAGGACATGGGCAAGTTCTGCCTGACCTACGAAGCCTCCATGACCCGGCTGTTCCGCGAGGGCCGGACTGAGACCGTGCGTTCCTGCACCACCGAGTCCTGCAATTTCGTGTTGGCCATGATGGACCCTCGGAAGACGGTGAGTGCGCGCCCCATCTCTCGGAGCTCCCAAAACTGACCCGGCTGACTGCCCCCTTTCAGAACAAAGAAAGGACTCAGTCTGCCCACCACACCCACCCCAGACAAAGACCTTCGTACTAGACCCTTCATGCCGGAAAATGTGCAGGCACCTTGGGCCCTTCCTGCACTGGCCCCCCAGGGGCAGTGTCACTGCTCTGGGAAACACCGAGGGGCTGGCGAGAGGAAGGGGCCTGTGGCCGGTCGCCCTGCAGCGGGGGCCGCCGAGTCACGCCCTGCTCTGCGCCCAGGTGGAGCAGAGGGCAAAGCTCTTCAAGGTCGCCTCTGAGAAGCACCAGCTGCTGTACCGCATGGCCATGACGGGCGCCGGGATCGACCGCCACCTCTTCTGCCTGTACGTGGTGTCCAAGTACCTGGCTGTGGACTCCCCCTTCCTCAAGGAGGTAAGCCCCCCTCTTCTGCGGCAGACCCTCTGCTTTGGGGAAACGATGGTATGATGGATGGTTGAGCCCTTGGCTGCTGACCTGAACGTTGACGGTTCAAACCCACTCTGTAGCAGCAGAGCCCGGCCGGCTGCTCCCAAGTGACCATAGCCAAGGTAACCTAACGGGACGTTCCAGTCTGTCACCTGGGGGTGCTGTGAATCATGGGTCCCCGCAGCCCAGATAGCCCTCCATCCGAGCTCACCCCGACTCACGTGTGTCCGGGGAGAACCCTGCTCTGTGGGTTTGGGTTTTTTTCCATCAGATGATTTTTCAGGGGCCAGTTGCCTGGCCTTTCTTCCTAGTCTGTCTTCGTCTGAAAGTTTCTGTGGAAACACGCTCCGCCCCGTAGCCATCCGCAGGCTGCCGAGGTACACATGGGCACTGGCTGGACACAGGGCTCGCAGGCACAGAATGCCGCCCATGCCTCCCCCGAGGGAGTGGGAAGGAACAGCTGACCCTCCGAGCCGTGCCCTGCTCACCCTGCTCCGGACCAGCCTCCTGGGGACGCAGAGGCGCCCTGAGCGCTGAGTCCTCACCGCCACCACTTAGATGCCTTTAAGTTCGTTGCTTTTTAACGACCGGGCTTAACAAACAGCTTGGGAAAGCCCTGAACGCGTACAAGTGGGCTCTTTGGGGGGTGAGTTGGCTTGGGTCGGCTGGAGCAGAGGCCTGCCCCCACTCAATTGAGCTGCTGTAGCGCCGGCCTTCGAGCGTCCACAGGCTCTGCTGGCCAGGGTCTGCCCAGCCTCGGGTGGAAAATATCCAGGGGGTGGGGGAGGCTATCCAGGGGTCAAGGTCGTCCCTGTGGCTAATCGGGAGTGAGTGGGCAGGGCTGCTGGTGTGTGTTTGTGTTGTGTGAGACAGTGTGTGCTGTCAAGGGGATGAGAAGTAACCGGGGGCATATCCCGAGTCAGTGCCGACTCCCAGCCACCCAGTGGGACAGGGCCGGACTGCCCCGGGGGTTTCCCAGGGAGACTACCAGTCTTCCGGGCACAGCCTCATCATTCTCCCATGGAGCCTGCCAGTGGTTTCGAACTTCTGAGTTTGCAGTGAATAGCCCAGCCATGATGCCGCCAGAGCTCCCTGTATGGGCACATGATTTTGAAATGTCAAATTCACTGCCCTCAAGTTGGGTCATGACGCACAGCGACCCTGTAGGACAGGATAGAACTGCCCTCGTGGGTTTCCGAAACTGTAACCGTTGACGGGAGTGAAAAGTCTCATCTCCTCCCACAGAGCAACTGGTGGTTTCGAACTGATAACCTTGTGGTGAGCAGCCCAGCGCCTAACCTCTGTGCCGTTAGGGCTTCCTGTGTGCGCCGTTCAGAGGGGCCATCTGAAAATTCTGAAATGGGTCCCCCGCGGGCACGGAGGGACGGCTGGCTGTACCTGCCCCCTTTTCGCCTGAGACACTGCTAGCCGGTGCTGGCCGCATCCTGGGGCGTCACTGCCCCGTGCCCTCTCTGCAGATGTACCACCTTAGTCCTCAGCTGTGGGGATGCAGGCCTTCTGGAGTCTGTCCCCTGGGCTCAGCTGTGACTGCAGAGCCGGGCTTGGGGGCCATGCCATTGGCCCGGGACACTTGCTGACCCTGTCACCCTGCATTCACCCGACAGGTCTTATCTGAGCCCTGGAGGCTGTCGACCAGCCAGACGCCGCCCCAGCTGGTGGAGCTGTTTGACCTGGACAGGAACCCCGAATATGTGTCCAGTGGAGGGGGCTTTGGGCCGGTATGTGGGGGAGGCGTCCGAGCCCAGGGGCGGGTCCCCAGCCCCATCACTGTTCTCAGCAGGTGTCGAGACACCCTGGGGTGCAAAAGGGTGGTGGCACGCATGGCTGTTGTGTCAGGATGGACTCTTGGCGCCTCAGAGAGTTGGGGGGATGTCCCACTGTCTTTCTGAGTCCACTTCCCACCCACTGGTCGGCCGGCTTTCGTAGCACAACCATCGCTAGCGATTCGATTTGGGGTCTTGCTTTGCCGTGGGGGCTGGCCCGCGCCTCGTAGGGTGTTGACCAGCTTCCCACTAGAAACCGGGAGCACACTGCACCCCAGACGAACCGGAACATCTGCAGACAGCGAAATGCGATGAAAGGATGGTGGGATGTTTCCAGCAGCGCCTGGACTCCCCGCCCCGCCCCTGCACCCTGTGAGATCTCTAGGGCTTTCCTTTGTGTTCCTCGGAAGGTGGTCACCAGGCCTTTCTTCCTAGCCAGTCTTCGTCTAGAAGCTGTGCAGAAACCTGCCCACCAGGGGTGACTCTGCTGGTAGATAGCGATGGCCAGTGTCCAGCGTTGCAGCCACCACGATAGCCTGACAGCTGCGGGGAGTGGGGGTCAAACATGTTTCAGCCCCTTCTGCATGTACCTCACTTCCCGACAGCAGGCTGAAGCCTCTCTCTCACTGCCTCCCCCCCCCACAACCAGGTGGCAGACGATGGCTACGGGGTATCCTACATCCTTGTGGGGGAAAACCTCATCAATTTCCACGTCTCTTCCAAGTTCTCCTGCCCTGAGACCGTGAGTACAGGAAGCCCTCCATCCTCACGGAAGGGTCCTGTTACTTTCTTCTACTTTGGGGGTCGCAGGGGGGGACATCTTTCATGGACAGAGCATTTATGTTCCTTCACTTGCTTGCCCTTGGTGTGGAAATGTTCAAAGCAGTGAATCGCACGTCCCGACGTCTCGTTTTGGCTTGAAAGCGTCTCTTCGCTGCCTTGAGCAGAGTTAGATCTTGAGGTTGGACTTTCTCTAACACTCAGGGGACATCGGATAGAGTGCACATGCTAAGTGATGTACATGCAACTCTATAGGGACCTGCCCACACTGAGCAACACACA